TGCTGCAGCAAAGCAGAGTCCAGGGCTGGCAGCAGTTCAGCAGGTACAGGGTGTAGACAGGAGAATGTGGCAACAGTTCTTTGGGCTCAGTGTGCTTGACTGTTCATCAGGAGTGGGGGGCTGAGGCATTTTATGAGGTTCAGGATTGTAAGGGGTTTGCTGCAGCATAGCAGAGGCTAAGAGCTGCTGCTGCACAGTCTGGGGATAGCAGCAGTTCAGCATATTTAGGGGCAAGCTGTAGCATAACAGGCAAGACGGGGGCAGAAACTTATAGCAGCACATGACTGGGGGACTGACACAGTCTTTTACAGTTTTACTGGGTTTGGCTGCAAATTGAGACTGGGGTTTCAAGCGGACCACTATTTGCAGCGGAGGCCTGGTATAGTTGCAGCAAAATAGAGTCAGAGTGGGGCTTTGGTTCAGGAGTCGGCGGGGCAGCCGACAGGACAAAGGGAACAGACAGGTCAGGCGGGTGGCTAGCCACTGCATTGCTAGCTGGAACAAGCAGATGGCTAGCTGCCGAACAGGGTGCAGGCAAAACAGGCAGAGGACTAGCCGCTGTGGCGCAAACCGGACCGGATACTGGCGGAGGACTAACCGCGCTAGCCAGACAGGATAAGCCGGACAAGATACAGGCGGAACTGGTTCCTTGTTCAAATGTGCTCATTAATTATTCTATGGCACCGTTTATCTCACCTACCTGAAAATTGCAGCAGTTTGTTTGCAATTTGGGGTTCAGTATCTTGCCCAAGATACTGTGGCTACCTCCTGAGCCACAGCTTTCATGGATTTCATGTAACCCATTGTTACACAGTTTACCCTCCTCTCTTATTGATCAGTGGTGTTTTAACTTAAAATACTGAGTTCAATCCAGTATAATCTTAATATATTTCTTTACAAAATCTCATGAACTAGCTATTTAAGGTTAATTTAATAATTTTTCAAAATTTTTGGAATTGCAACAGTTTACTTTGGCAATAAATCTAAAAAGATATATGGACATGTTTTCTTCACTGTTGTTCAAAGTGAAGAGGCACTCCAGCGATTAGGAACTGCATCCACAAGAACTCCTCATTAAAGTACAGATTTTTAGATGTAAAACACAAAAAAATTACATAAAATTACTTAAAATACCGTGTTTTAAAACTCATTCACTCAGCTTTAGGCTTCTATTTTATGGGATTATCCAAATTATTAATAGTAAATTCCTGTTAAATTTAATTTTTAAACTATAGAATAAATTTTTATAGTGATTACTTTATGTAAACAATATTTGACAGTAATTACAAGCAACTATCCAATATATCTACAGACTTTTCTTTTTATTGTATGGGGTTTATTTTGAATAAACATACTTTTCTAGTGATTAAAAGCAACTATCCAATTTATCTACAGCCCTTTCCCATTTTATCTATCTATCTATATATATATATATATTAAATATACATACAGCAATGTTAATATTTGTTTAAAAGTCCCATTGTAATTTTTACCTCAGTTAGGCCCTTTTGGAAGCCATCCACAAGCTTCTGGTTGAATCATTGACCACTCCTCTTGATAGATTTGGTGCAGTTGAGCTAAATTTGACAAACAGACTTTGTTCAGAATAGTTCACATGTTCTCGTTGGGGTTTAATCAGGTAAGGTTGGGTACTGTTTAAATTCTACGCTACCAGTACCAAAAAAACTTCTTACAACAGTAAAAAGTAGAAAACGAGTACGCAGTAGGGGTGAGCATCTTCACTGGTCTCACGATTCAATTCGATTACAATTATCAGGTGAACAATTCAATTCGATATCTTGATGCGTCACCTCAAGGGTGGGAATTTCTAGGCACCTCATTACGATTATGAGGCTACGATGCGATTGTAAAACAGACAGGATAAAGATGTATTTGTAACAATCCAAAAAGTAGGAAGTGATGAATAGGGGTGGGAGAATTAATCGATTCTTAGATGCATCAGGATGCTGACGTGGAAGATTATGAATTGATAAACAAATGTCTCAAAATCTATTATTAAAAGTTAATTGATAACGTAATGTTGACGGATCGCAGCGCCTGGACGGAGCGCACAACAGAGAGACCAGTGTTCCCCTGTGTTTGACACACTACGGCTGCAGAATGAATAACCACCCCACTAAATGAATCGTAATCAAATCAAATCGCGAGGTGCCCAGAGATTCCCACCCAGTAATGAATATAAGTTTACTTCATTTAAATGTAACGAACATTGCATAAAATTATTAGATTATTACAGCGTTATTACTAACCTCCTCTGCTGATATTTTTATTTTTGATGCAGCCAGTCAGTATCAGTATAGAGTCAGATTTGGTTGAACTACGATGCTCCAGCCGAATCACGTTCACTCCACCTTAATATATTTGATCCTTTATTTGGGGTGGTGGTGTTGGTGAAGTGGGTATGACGCACGTGAGACCCGGGTTCATTTCCAATCTGTGACACCAGTGTGTCCCTGAGCAAGACCCCTAGTTGTTCCAGAGGCGTGCCACCTCTGACCTAAATAGCAATTGTAAGTCTCTTTAGATAAAAGCGTCAGCTAATGAATAAATGTAATGTCTCGTCTAGTGTAGTTACTTGTCTTGTAAGTTGATTATTGTAATCTTGTATTGAGCACCATGGGCCTTGAGAAACGGCATTGGGTTCATTGTGTACCGGATATGTGGATGAATGACAACAAACAAATTTGAACTAACAGCCAAAAATGTCCTGCTAAGCTTCCAGACCGCAGTCTGAAGAGGATGGGATCATAGCAGTCATATTTTCGTCTGCTCCGCTCGTTTTCACCGTCACCTACTGCCGCCTGTCACGTAGCTGTCCTGTGAAGGAGGAGAGGATGCTATTTAACGCAGGCAGCAAGGCAGCTGACTCTGTCACGATGTTGACAGAGCAGCTGTCAACTGCGTGTATGAGGCATAGAAATAGAACTGATAGATTGTGCACTGTAGCACGATAGCAACAATCTCTCTGAAAAGGCAGATTCTAGAGAATATTTTAATTGTTCACAATGTAATATCGTAATATCGATATTCAAGTGTGCATATTAGCCGCCTGGTTCTTTTTAAATTATTCATAGGATTAGACTTTAATATTTTAAATACAACTAAATGTTACTTCTAGAGCAGCAAATTTAATGTTTACAACAGCAATAAAACAAAATAAAATAAATTTTACTCTGTAAAAATACAGAGTCTCATATGTACAGATTTATCTGTAAAATAATAAGTTAATAATAATATAAGTTTTTTTTTTACTGTAATTTGATTTTTTACCATTATTTTACAATTTTGTTTTTTACAGTGAAAGTGTGGCTAAAAGTGCGAAGAGACAAAAGATTTTACAAGACAATGGCAGCAGACATTAAATTGAGAGAGGTTTAATAAAATTTAATGAAATCAAAACATTATTTATTGGCCCTCATGGGTGTGGTGGGCCTAGAGGGCACCAAGACGCCCAGGAACAGACTGGTTTGGAGTACCAGGTGACCTTCAGTCAGCTTATAAAAAGTGGCTCACAGCCTACCTCTGGTCTAGCTGGTGGAGAGTCACGTGAATAGAGGTAAATCTGATTCACATATTCTAACAATGTCATTTTTCACCGTTCACTGTACGTATCTGATGTGTTTTGTTGAGAAAAAACAATCTTGATGAATGAACTATAATCTGAAAGCAAACTGAAAAGAATGCGAAATGAAATGGATAAAAACAATTATATGTTAAAGGATTTTACTGAGATAATATTTGAAAGAATATAAAAAAAATTGAGCATGATGAATGCATTAGATATATTTTGTAGAAAAGATTCATTCTGTTCTTTAAATAATGTATAAATAGGCGGGTTTGTTTGATGAGGCAAAAACTCTCAACAGTAAAACAAATTGTGCCTAACTGAACAAAAATAAATAAAATTAAATATGAAGCTAAATTATATTTACATGAAGTAGTGATTATTTTTACCAACAGCATGTCAGACTGAGCATGGTTGATTTGATTTAACTGATAATATAACTTGTCTGTGATACTGTGCGTATGTTTACAAGCTGTTCAGGAAACGGGAAAGAAGCAAACTTTGAGATACAGTGTGATTTTAGGATTTTAATTTGGCGTTCACAGAACCAGGTGCAGTCTGATCTGTATTAGAGGTAGTTTTCTTTAAATGTGTGCAGTGAAATACTCAAGACTCTGGTTTCAGAGACAAGACTTTTAATGCTCATAATGTGACTTTATTGTTAGAGTTTTTTAAGACGTCCAAATGTTATATTTTTTTTCTGTACATGCACATGGGGCTCATGATAGACCCAGCAGCTGGTTAGCGTACACACAACAATGATAACCGTCAACAACAGTGTCAGACAGAAATAAAATGATGGTGTTAAGACAGGGCACGCTTTTTCTCTTTCTGGAGTTATTCGACTTTTTTACAGTGACAACTTTTAGATTTGTCTGAAAACTGGAAACATGGGCACATACTGTATATCAGTTCACACACGCACAGCAAAGATGAAAAACATTTATATTAAACTCCTAAATGTCTGCTTTGGAAGAAAAAAACTCAAATTATCTCCAAGAAGTTGGTTAGATTTCAGTGCCGCTCTTTTTCACATTTAGACACATATTCTATAATGTTTCAGCAGCCAGAAAATCATGTGTCCTTTTTTGATAAATACAAAATAAGTTTTTCATGGGACAGCTACAGTATCTAGATATACCAATGAGCTGTTTACTTCTTTATTTTCCCATATTCAGATCGAATAATAAGCTTCTGTTTGAGTGCCTGCAGGATACTTAGAGTAAACCCTTTACTCGTGTCATTTCGTTTTGCATTTTTCTAACTTTTTGCTCGTTATATCAAAGCTGTATTTATTTACCAGCTCACAAGCAATCATACGTAACACCATCACTTTGAGAGATCAGGTTTTAATAACGAACACAGTGCTGACTGAATTCTCTGTCTGTGCTCCTCTCCAGGACCCCCCTGCAGCATGGAGAACCAAACTTTCAGCATGGATGTTCTACAGCTGGAGGGGTTGAAGGTCAGCCCTGACTTCTCTATTCCCGCATTCGTCCTCCTCCTCCTCATCTACATCTTCATCATGGTTTCTAACATCAGCCTGGTAGTTCTGATCTTCATGGAGAGGAGCCTCCACGAGCCCATGTATCTGCTCTTCTGCAACATGAGCATTAATGATGTTTTCGGGGCCACGGCCATCATTCCTCGTGTACTGAGTGATCTTTTTACTCCAGTCACAGAGCGGTACATCTATTATTATGAGTGTGTCATTCAGGCCTTCTGTGGTCACTTTTATGCAGGTGCCTCTCACACAGTGCTCATGATCATGGCCTTTGATCGCTACATGGCCATCTGCAACCCTCTGCGATACGCCACCATTATGACCAACAGGATGGTGGTGATGCTGTCAGTGGGGGCCTGGGGAACAGCTTTCTTTTTGATTGTAATCCTCATCGGCCTCAGCGCCCGCCTGTCACGCTGCAGGCGCTTGGTAAGCGCCCCTTTTTGTGACAACGCCTCCTTGTTTAAGCTGTCGTGTGAAAACATTCTCATCAACCACATCTACGGCCTCGGCACTGCCATGGGCACGATGGCCTGCTCCCTGTGCAGCGTCACCCTCACCTACCTGAGGATCGCCATGGTGTGTTTCAATAGTAAGAACAAGACTGTGAACAGCAAAGCGCTGCAGACCTGCGCCACCCACCTGGCTGTGTACCTCATCCTGCTACTGTCAGGCAACATCATCATCATCCTCCATCGTTTTGAGAACTTATCAGATGAAAGGAAGCTGGCATCCCTCTTGTTCATTGTGGTCCCTCCTTCCATGAACGCTGTTATCTACGGACTGCAAATCAAAGCAGTCAGAGAAAAAATGATGATTATATTTAACAGGAATAAAATGAAAGAAAGAAATAAAATGTCAATGCAGAATTAAATGTAGAAGAAATGGCTAATAAACTCTATGACGGTACAAAAGTACCAGGGAATATGTATATGTATATATATACATATATTTAGTGTATTTAATATACAGTACTTTGCAAACGTTTCAGGTGTGGATAAAGTGGTGTTAAGTAAGAATGCTTTCAAAAATAGACATCAATAGATTATTAATTTAAGAATTAAATGTTTCATTGTGCTTCTTCAAAAGAGCTTGGACAGCACATCTGGAAACCTCTGTTTGCCTTGAAACGTCTGCATTGGAGAGACCTTGCTGATGCAGCATAACTACCATTGCCATGATGTATGACTCTGACAGTAAACTATTTTTAGTAAAAGTTCTATTCCTCCTACACAGCTGTTTATGTTTCACTTAATTAGTATTTTTCAACCTACATATTGAATTGGTGATCATTGGCACCTGTTTGACAATATGACTACAAAATCTCTGACTTTCTGCAAGTGTACTTTGAAGAATTGATGCTATTTGACGGCAGGATATTTGATTTACATTTTTCTTCTTGTCACTCACTTTGTATTTTACTAATTGATAAATATTATCTATTAACATGTCTATTGTTGAAAGCATTCCCACTTTACAGCCCTTTTTCCACACCTGCCTAAACCGTTTGCACAAAGATACCCAATAAAATATCTGCTCTTTCGAGCTACAATTGGGTTCTAGTAGCTGGCTCTGTTTTGGATCTGGCTCCAGGTTCATAAAAAGTTAACTATGAAGATTTAAACAAGTCTTATACTATTATTTTATGCTAAGTATGTATTAAGTATTTCAACAAACTGAATAAACTCTGAGAACTGATATTTACTTGTTAGTGCTTGAAGGGAGTCCATAGTGATAGTATTTGAGTCTGAGTTGTATGGCTCTTTATACCATAGTATTACAATATGAATGTGTGTCCACTATATATTTTTCAAAGAAAGAAAGGGTTACTGTACTTCTACAGGTTATTGTCCTGCAATGGGTTAAATATGTGTATAGTAATAAAAAGACAATATTTGTACATCAAATGAAGTTGTCTGACTATTTTTTCAATCAATCTTTATTATCCCTGTGAGGAAATTAGTTTGCAGCAAAATCACGTCGGCATTTCATCGTACAACAGACATACTGATACACATATCCCGCACCTCGCTACAGATAAGGCAGGCCAGAACATCCTGCCTATTTGGCTATGTGCCTTACCAGTTTAAAAACTTGATGGCTTGAGACAGGTTACATCCACAAGGTAACACTGGTGAAGCTAGAAAGACTGAGGCTACAACTTGTACATCTAAAGAAGAAAGTCAGCCTCCATAAGTTCTTGTAGGCTGGTATATTAATAACTTCTCTAAGACTTGTCAAGAGTCAAAATCTGATATTTTTTTATGGCAAGTTGGTAAAGTCAAGGTTCATGTTTTTTTATTGCACAGTTAACAGTGTACAACAGTGTTGTGGCAGAGCTAATGAACCCATAAAGCGAGACACAGACAGACAGGAGGCTGGAGCTATGATTTGAAAGGTGTCTTTATTACAAGGCTTTGCAGAGCCAATCAGGGATCCAGAGCTGAGGGGCAAAGACAGGACAGGGAGAGGAGAAATACTGTTAGGCAGGATTCAACAGGCAGATATCTACAAAGTAGTTAGAAACACAGACTGACTCAGCAGGTTATATGCACTGGCATAGCACAGGGAGAGAGAGGCTATGCAGAGGTGGAGAGCATGACAAATATGCTGCGTTCCATCTACCTCCGAAGTCGGCGTTCAGGACTCGGATCGACGTCATATCCATTAAAAAACAAGAAAACCTGAGTTGGATGCATTTCATTTGCCACACAAAACGTCAAGTTGGAAAACAACATGGACGTGTTGTTGTTAGCAACATTGACCTAGCCAATTTTAGTAGCACCAGATGATAAATAACACAGCAGCATTTCAAGCATCACAGGATCATAGTCACATGACTATAGACAACAGTTAAAACAGTATTGTTTATACGACTTACTAAATTGGACACAAAAAAGACAAAACTGCTAAAAATACTGTACTTTGTGCAGATCATGCCACAATTCATAAAAATGAATTAATATAAGAAGTGAAAAGAATAAAAGAAAACAGTGTAGCGTGTTGTATTATTGTAGTCATTGAGAATATGAAATGTATCCATTTACTGCATCTCATCAACGTGGTTGAAAGCTTGGCTGCATAGATGGTAAGACGTAGACATAGCCACCGTGAATGTGTCTTAACACAACAGTACATTAGGACATATGATATACAGTAGACTAATTATATATATTCTGCATATACAGCACATTCTATGCATGTATTTGTGTGTGTTCTGAGGTGTAGTTTAGCCTGTGTTTAGGGAAGGATAAAGGGGTAACGTTACACTAGCCCGGTAGTTCTTAACCTGGGGGTCGGGACCCCCTGACGGACTACTGGAATCACTTTGGGTGGACACTGTAAATATTTGGCACTGTTTAATCCAGTAGGTGGCGGTAATGCCAGCCGCTATAAAACGCCAAAGAAGAAATATTTTCAACTTCAGAAAGGGGTCGGACTGCCAGAAAGGTGAAGAACCCCTGCACTAGCCATTTTAAAATAAATTACCATGCAGTAATTATATGGATTGTAATTCACTCAGTAGCCTAACCATCTCTGCAGTTGCATTTCAACAGGTAATGGTAGGAAATAGGTGTTAATGCTGTCTCTCTTTCCCTCCAAAGAAAAAAAAGCACTGCTGTAAGTACAGTTAATGTAGTAATCAATGCACATTATAGTCTGCTGTTACTGTGTATATGTTACACCTCTTCCCTCCAAAATTAAACACAAAAACAGATAATACTGCTTCCCCGACTCCCCAGAAGAAATGCTATCATCTGTAAGAGTCAGGGTAGTAATCAAATCACATTATACCTTAAGATTTATCCGAAAACTGGTGTCTGTCCCATATGAAACCATTCAAAGTGGTTGACAGTGCGGATTGGTTGGAACGACTGAGAGCTGCATGGAGGTGATTCTGATTTTATACCATCTACGTAATATAAACATGTATATTTGTGAAATGGTTGCAGTTCAGGAAAAGATCATGGTTTTGAATAAAATAAGTACGTACTTATGTAACTAACTTATATTATGTACTTACGTAACCTACTTACTTAAGTTGAAAATAGAGTCAAAACTGACTACTGGTTTCACAGAGAAAACAAAGACTGGTCTTATAGTTGAAAGTGCTATAAACCACCCCGACCACCCCCCTGACTATTCTTAGTCTTACATGTACTTGTAAACTACGTCACCTGACTTTGATGGAACATTAAGCGAGGGGAGCATCCAGAAATTAGGCTAGAGGGGGGGACTATGACATTACAGTTCGAAGAGTACAACCTCTGACCCAGCTGCTGTGTTTGACGTATTGTGAGAGTGGGCTGATGCTATTAGGACATTTTTGAATAAAGCAGAAGTTGTAAACAGCAAAACATTGGAGAAATAAGTTCTGAGACATATTTACACAGTGTTTTGGGGGGAAAAAATATTTATTTTAATATTGGTCCATCCATCATGTCTGGTAGAAGCAGTGTTCCAATGAAAAAGGACTGTTGATATATATATTAAATTAAAAGGCTCATTAACTAGGACATTAAGACCCCTGGATGTTCAATTGCCTTTACTCTCGCCTCTTTGACAGTGTCCAATTAGCAGAGTGGCAGGTTTTCTTTCCCAGTCAGGACAAGGTGTTGACATCCTTCATGCGTAACACAGCAGCAGGTCTGAACCTGCTCAGAGTCCTTCTGATGGACTCTCGCAGTTCCTTGTTCCTCAGACTGTAGATCATTGGATTTAGGAAAGGAGTTAGAGCGGCGCACAACACAGCCACAATGATCCGGACCTAAAACAAAAAAAATTTAAAGCTTTATTGAACATGGAAAGCTCATTGTGAATTTTTGGCATTTCTCCCCACAGGTCATGTGGGCTAATTATTGGCTGTTTCGGATTTCTATCAAATTTGCTATGAGTTCTTATGGTCACCAAATGACCATGTAGCATCAACAAGACAAACATTTCATTTGGTCTGGATTTTCATCCTCATCATCGGGATAAATCCAAAGAGTCAAGGCAGAGTAGTGTAGAATGCCTCAACACTTGGATCTACTTGGTTCATAATACTTTTGTTGACCCCAAGACCATTTGAGAAAATCTCCCCTCATTCAACAATTTAGTTGACAAGTTATCTTGAAGATCAAATAGTCAGATTCCTGGGGAATTCACTGTGGATATTTGTGTTCATCAGAGGATCAATCCCACATTTTTTGCAACCTCCTGACCTTTTCTATCTTGTGCATTCCCTGCTAGCAATGAGGTTTAAGAATGGTAGCCTACCTATTATTGGAAACAGATCTACAGGCCAGATTGACATAACAGACTCTCCAGAGGACTTCTCTTTTTGCACCACCCTCAGAGCTCCACTGCTCTAAGAATAGGAAAATCATCAGTATGTTTTTTGTTCTGTCTGAACGCAGACGTCTTGTGGGTGTTTTAAACAATGGAGGTTCTATTAGCTTGCATTAGCAAAATTTTGACTTTTGACAATAAGACAGTAAGTGTTTATAGACATGCTAGCATCTCTGTGATGCTGTACTTAGGTGCAGTGTTGCTATAAGCTTAAATGCTAACACAAGCATGCTAACATGCTCATATTGCTAACATGTTAGTGAATTAGTATTATTCATACTGATGGGAACATAAATGTCTGAACCAAACTTCGTGGCAATCCATTCAATAGTTGTGGAGACATTTCTCAAAACCACAAATGTCAACCTCAGGAACAGTCAGGGGCTCAGCAAAGTTATTAGGATACACCCTGGATATCTGAACCAAAGGCAATCCATCTAACAGTTGGTACAGACATATTTAAGTCAGTACCAAAGTGGTTGCCCAACCATATCAGAGCGACATTTCTATCTATATAGCCACACTGCTAGAGTGGAAAATTG